AGAGTGAGAAAGGAAAAAGCTAGATAACAAAGAGAAATATTTCACATGCTATGTGACAGTGGGTTATAAGATGAAATATTTTACAGGTTTTGAAAGAGCTAATTTCTTTCACATGTCTTGAAGGATCAGGGATGACTATATCTGATCACTGACCAGTGTCCTCCCCAGAGTCTTGCAAACCCCTTAACTCATTTCCTACGGGCCATCAAATACAGTAGAGCACATTTAAATGGGAGACAGTATTTGATACTAGTACAGAAGATGTCGACAGTGCAGAAGATTCTATCAACCAGATTGTTAGGAAATGGCACTTTTTCAGCCTGCTTTGCTTCCCCGTGCTCCCACTCTAGCAATCACATACCATGGTAGGCACTACAGTCAGCACTCTGGCAGGCAGCTAAATTCTGGGTTGTTCTTAAATACATGGAAACTAAAGACTCCTGAATTCTGTACAGCTCTTGGGATTCAAAGGCTATTTCTAATAAAATATATTTTGTCCAATAAAGAGCTGTCCCATTCTGCACCCAAGGTTAGCTATTTAACTGAAAAAGAACAGCTTGGTTTGATTTCAGCAGAGGCTATTTATCAAGAATTGTATGATTATGACTTCAACTTGTTTAAAAACAACCCAAAAGGTCATTTCCAAAGCTATGTTCCTAAATAAAAATAACTCCACTGAGCACCTCAAGCCTGCTACTCTATATTCTCAGCTTTCTTCTCTGCTTAAAGATGTCTCTGTCCAGCCTCTAGATAAAAGCAAAGTTTATGCTTTTCTGAGAAGACTGGCAGATGGGTCCACTGAAATTCTCCCCGTGAAAGACAGTAATCTTGAGGATTATGTGTATCTACATAAGCAGGGTATACATTCAGCTTCTCAGACCTCCGTAAATTCAGTACCTCTCCAGCACTGTTACATGTGGTTAACAAAAAGAACCATATACCTGAAAGTTCATTTAGAGAATTGTACCAGAATCAAAATAAACAAACAAATATATAATTAAAAAAAAACAACAAACCAAAACAAAAGCCAACCTGAATTTTAATTGCTGCCATAACACTAAGACAAGAAGTGCATTAAGACAGATTCTAGTAAGTGCTTCACCCTTTTTCTATTTCTTTAAATCTATAAATTTCCTGAAAAAATCTGGATGTTTTACTCTGCAAACCTTCAACCTCTTTTATACTTTCAAAGAGGGGTTTCCCTATGATACCAAATAAGAGCAGCATTAATCACATATTTGTATTGTAGTAGTACTTCAGGAATTCTAATCAGGGAGTGGGCGTCATGGTGCTAGGCATCATGCAAACATCTAATAAAATTTGCCTGCTATTCAAAACCTATCAAGACTGAGAAGATTAATCATATGAAAACCCATCTTATTAACTCCTATTTCTATGCTGAGCAGCTAATGTTCTTCATTTGCTTCAGTTTATGCATATGAAGGAGATGGCTGTTGAAGAAGACAGACTGAATGGAGCATGGCTGTGAGAACAAGGCAAGCAAAGGGATGTTAAACAGCTGGTAGACAAGGGAGGTGCCAGAGAGGGGCATAGGTGAGTGGGGTTGCGCAAAAGAGGGGCAAGAGTTGAAAAAACCCCCTTTTATCCAAGAGTAGAAATACTCAGACCTGAAACATGAAAAAGATAGTAAAAGTAAAGGTTGTAGAACAGCACAACATTCATTATTCACTCCCCTGCTGAGAACTGTGTTGCTGGGAAAGGAAGAGCTGTGCTGGCCTCCCACAATGATTGCTTTACAACACTGGCTCCTTAATTTTTCAAATATGCCAGAAATTTCTAAACCAAATAGTGCAGCTAGAGCCACAACAGAAGTAGTTACTGTCTGCTAGGTCAGTAGAACTCAGATGAAAAATTTGATGTGAACTCCCCTTGTCTCTGTCAACCATTGTATGGCACTAACAGAAAACCAACAGCCTGACAGAAAGGGTCTATAGCAAAAGGTTAGGTAAGTTACCACAGAAACCTTTTGACCCTTTAACATAGTTTCTGGCTAGGTTAGTCCTCAAATAAGTCAGGTAAACTACAGAGGATTAAAAATCCCAGAAAGGAATATTTTTGTAGGAAAACCCTTTTGCACAGAAAGCTTGACTTTAACCTACTTAACTCCACCTCGAAATGTGCACTTTTGATTGACGTTCTGAAAGGTTTTTAAACTAAGAAGCACAGTACTCACCATTTAATTTTTCACTGTGGTGAAAGTAACAGAGATCTCAACTATTTTCGAGTACATGGCTGTTACCAAAATCCAAGCTGAGCCCATCAGTGTGCGTACCCTTAGCAAGGTTACTGACATGCATGTTCCATCAAACATGTATTTTCTCCCTGAAAGGAGAACACTACTAATTGACTGATAGCCAACAGCCACACTGATGGGGGTGGAGGGAATGGTACCATCACTGTCTCCATTGTTACCCTTCCAGCCAAAAAAATATGAGAATAGCTAAAAATTTTTTTTACAAAAATTATCAGGAAACCTGTTTGGAAGGAAATGATCAGTCCCTGCTGTCCAGTAACTGCAATTACACAAGACAACTTCTATGACAACGTTTTGAAATTTTTGTTGAGGGGTTGCTGATGACTATCTTATGCTCTTAACATACAGATCCATCAGAATTTTCTGTTGCTTGCTATTTTTCTAATATCTCTACATTTTTTACAATTTCCATGTTTTTCCAATTTTAAACATGTGGTGGGTAGGCAGTTGTGGAAGGTTTTTTCGTTTGCTTACAATTACTCTTATGTTTATTGATTTATGATTACATTACATTTACCTGTTACTTTTGTGTTTTATAACATATCATTGATGATAACTAAACATTTTGTCAAGCACTTCTCATTTACACCTAAGCTTAAGTATGTAACAGTCCAATAATTTTATGAATGATCTCTATCTGTTTGAGGATCCATGTGCTTCTCTGGATCAGGCACTTATAAATTTCCTATTATATCCTTAAATAAATGTTAACATATGACCATAATTGTTTGGAAATTCTAAAAAAGCTTTTTATTCAAAGTGGTCTTCAGCTGACACTTTTCCCACATCTGGTGTATTAATTTTTCCATCTTTAGGAAAATCTTGCCCTGAGAAGGAATACCACTGCAAAGCTATCATGCAACATGTGAGACCAAGATGTTTTTTTCTCAGACCATTATGCAGTTAGTCCGTGGAAATCATTACTCTCACCTTCTTTTACTGATTCTGCATGCCAGATTCTCCTTTGGTGGTAAGGATACAAAAATCAACCACTCTTAGGTTAGCTGGACATGACATGGCAAAGGAGATTCCAAGCAAATGCTCTTCTGATCCCTCCAGAGAAAATTAAGATGTTAGCAGGCAGGCACCCCAGGAGTGTTCAGGCATCAACAGTGCAGCTGTGCCTGGATAAAATCGAGCAGCTGAAGACTATGGAGACACCTTTTCCTGCACACACCTGAAAGCGCCAAAGGCCACCCAAAAGCTGTGGCTGCTGCCAGCTTTCATATCTTGCCTCTGATAAGAAATCAATGCAGATGGACACTGGTTGCAGCATACATCCCTGGTAGGTGGTCGTAGCCTGGGGAAGTGCTGGCAGCCATCCTGCAGTGTCCTGGAAGAGCTGCCACCCAGCACCCAGACACTCCTCAGCAGAAGGGAAGCCAAGAAAGGAGGAGGCAGGACCACGGGAAACTGGTATGGCCTCACCCAGAAATCTCAGCGATGTACTTACAGGAAACATACCTGTGCTTTGAGCAATTTCAGAGCCATCATCTGTTCAGCCCTTCCATTTATGAAAAAGCCTTATTCAAGTTATGCAAAACTAATTTGGTTTATAATGTCCTTGAGGTTACTGACTGGGTTTTAGTAAAATGAGGAACTGCACTTAAACAAAGACATCGTTTTCCCCTTTTCCTGAAGTGTTCAGATACTGAGTAGCACTGTCAGGTTTTTAACAATTCACACACAAAAAAAATACTTTTCACTGTTAAATTTCAAGATGTGAATCTTACACAAGTACTTTCTAAAGGGAAAGGAGATGATTATTTTATAAAACAGATTCTGTACCTACAGAACAAACTATCCAGAAGATTGCCTCTATTTATCTGATGTTCTAGGGCTGCTGTTAGCGTCAATTCATCATCATCTTCAATATGCAAGATTTGTTTGCAAAAACTAATCAGGCATGAAAAGCCAAGGCATGTTATTTCCTTTCATTCACACAAGCTTACGTTCTGAAACAAAGCTATTAGGATACTTAATGCTGCATGTGCTCTTCTAATGGATAATATGCACCATATGATAGCAAACTGTCACTGTGACTGTATTTTTCTTGGGAGGTTTTCAGCTGAAACCTTGAACTTGTAAAATTGAGGTAGCTATAATTTTAAAGCCACCATTAGTTTTCCCTTTAACAATGACACTATATGGATATTATATATACAATGGTGCATTAATATAATCCCTAGCAGGAGTGGTAGAAAAATCTCTAAATACTGGAAAGACAGCAGTTTAAGACAAAAAACCAGGACGTGTGCTGTTTCCTGATACAGGCTTCCAACAGCAACTACTGATGAACGTTGCTTTACAGGTTTAGGTATTTCTGAGAAGTCATTGCACAGATCACATTTACTCTATTAAAAAAGCATAATATAATATATCATATATATAAAAATATATATAATATAGAAATAATATAGCCATAGGCACATACCAATGAACACATCTCTACAAGAAGGCTTATATGTGTCTTACTGCACACAAATTTCAGAAAGTAACAACAAGGAAGCTTCTAAGATGGGAAGAAAACATCAAATACTAAAATGAAAGACAAGGAAACAGATGGAGGTCAAGAGGAAAAATTCTTAGTATGCCATAAAAAAAAAAAAAAATCTTACCAGGAAGAACATATTTGACAGCATGCACATTGGGAAAACATGCATCTACTCACAAGTAACAGTTTGTCTTAGGGAAATTACACACAGAAAGTTAACAAACAACTGACATGTTGTCTTGGGCAAATCAGCACATTCTTCATGCTCAGTCTTCCATTCAGTCTCACCAAGCCATCCATATTTCAACTAAATCCTTGCTTAATAGCTTATTTTAACTTTTAGGGTATCTTTAAAGGTTCAAGAAAAGTGCCTCAAATTCCCTGTGCTGAGTGAATACTGGTGCAGCTGCCTGATTACATCATTTTCAGGAATGATCAGCAGGAACTTTCCATGCTACTTAAGGGTGTACTACTGCTAATTAGTATTGCAGCCCAAAAATAGTTTTTAAATTTTATACTAAAGAATGTTTCCCTCCATAGAGAATGTTTTTGTTTTGGTAAGAGAAACATGAAAAAAAAAATCTACCCATCCTATTAAGTATGTTTTACTCTCTCCAGATTTCTGGCTAGCTTAATTCTTTAAAAGTTCATTTCCACTTTCTCTGGTGTTCCCATACAGCTCCTCAGCTTGTATACACCCAGCTCCATACACAAACAGAACTGTCAGGAAGCAGAATATTACAGTAAGTGTTCAAACATGCCCATGTTCATATTTAAGGAATGGAGATGTAATTGGGCTTGAAATAAATAGCTGACCACAAGAAGCATAGGATTAGCTTAACTCATAAAAAGCATGAGACCACGGACTCTACAGCAAAGGACCCAAGGGTGCTTCTGGCAGGAAAACTAGCCTGTAAATAAGGAGAGCAGAAATTTTACAGAAGAGAAGTTTGAGTTACATTAGGAGTAATGAGACAGTACGCAGAAAAACAGGAAACCCCTTTCCCCAGATTGTATCACGTTTGCCTTTTCTCTTCAACAGCTACACTGAAAATGCAGATAGCTATAAAAGAAAGATGAACAGAGCCCATATGGAACAGCAAGACATCAGGGAGTCATCTTGTCAAATGTTAGACAGCAACGATAAGAGAGCCCATAAAGGGTGAAATTTTAAAGGACTTGAAAAGAGAAAAAAGAGACAAAAAGACTGATGTTATCTAAGAAAAAAACACTAGAAATTTATCTAAGAACTGGACATAAAAGAATTTATAAAGACACTCCATCTCTTCTTCCTATTAAAGCCAATCCTAATTACAGCAGCTGAGAGCAGCAGAGCATTTACAGCCACAGAACTAGCCCAGCCTGCCAAATCTCCCCTAAAACACCCAGACATTCCTATCAGCAAACTCTCAAATGGAAACACTTCAGAAGCAAACAGTGCAGGCTCTGCTACTTCACTTGATCCTACAGACTGACTGCAGGCCATTTATCATAGCATCTTGAATCACTGCATCAGAAAGTTTGTAAAAACAAACACTTTGCTAATAAATTAATGAAAATATTTTCCAAATAGGTATAAGGCTTTCAACCTGCTACCATGTTCCCATAGCATTTATGAGAACATTAAAAAAAAAAAAAAAAAAGTAGAGCTGGCTCCTCTAGCTCAGCTTCCTTATTACCATGGCTTCTTGACCAGTAATGTTAAAATGCATTTGCTAGCTGTTCAGATTGTACAGCCATGTGAGTACTGCTTGGTCAAAGTCTCACCACATGTCAACTTGGGATTCAAAAAACAAATGACTTGAAAGGAGGACTCAACAATTATCCTCTTATCCTGTTATTCCAGCCAACCTTGTAATTGCCCCTTAACTAGATCCCACTATCAATAATCCTTTTAGTGGGATCAGTTTCACTTTAAGCAGCCTATTACATGGATGAAAAAAGATGCAAAAATAACTCAAGAATTATCAGACAACAAAAATTATGTCTAAAAACCATGGTCTTATCTTGATACACTGAAGATATTCCTTAAAATCTTCTCTAGGTGAAGTTAAGTTTTTTCAGTGAAACAGAACAGTGCCCAGTGATTTTTTTTCCAAGAACATCTTCTGTTTACAATGGAAATTCACCACATCTAAGGAATAAACTGTAACTATTGTGACAGCATTACTTAAATTGCATCTTCTGAATTACCTGAAAGAGTAACCCAGAGTATCCCAAAGAACAGTTGTTAAAGGGAGCTGTTGGTTCACCCATAAATTTATTGACACCATAATAACAAAGGGATAATCTTGATCTCAAGTTAAAACTGATAAACAAAAAATAAGGTAAAAATCAAATTAGTATCTATTTCTCAGCTAAGAAATCTCTCACTGACTTAAGTTTCCACTTCCAGTTAAGTGACATCTGTGTATGCCGGTAGCCTGAAAAACATCTGAAGGATGTTGCTAGCAATGTTTGCCTATGAACCTTCCTGAACAAAGCTCTGTTGCATGCTCCAAATCCTGCATCATTAGATCATTTTTTTCTTCTTGAGCAGACATTTCACATTAGGTCAGGTTCCATCTGATAAATTTTAAATTACTACAAAATTCCAAATTCACCTGAAGGAAAAAAAATTCCCAACCAACTTTTAATCAGTCCTCCATTGCCAGCTGATTTCCTTTACCTTCTTCACAGCCACCTTAAAACACGCTCCACCTGTTCCACACATTATCTTGCCTGTTACCACCTTCACATCCTCTGATTTTTTCCATTTTTTTCTGCATACAATTTTTATTTAGTGCTTCAGTGTGAACTGCATAGTCCCTTCCCTGTCAGGAGGCATTGACACATTGACAACATCATTTACACGCTTACTATATTCTCTAGGAGCAATAAAACTAACTTTTTTAATTTTCAAGGAGTTCGTCCAAAGAGTAGCTCCATGTATGTGGTTTTCATAGCTGTCTTCCAAGATTTACTTTCTCATTCGCATAAAAGTAACTGCAAAATTGCCTACTAAAGAAGTCATCTGCAAAATACTTCTGCCGATATGCCTGAGATGCCCATGCAAGAGCTCGTATTTGCAGTATTTTATTCTTCCATCCTTTCTGGCAAAGAAGCAGAACTTGGAAATTCTGACAAGTGTCATTTTACCATTAGTCATGCATCGGTTGTTTCTACATAGTGTGCACCATAAGCAAAAGGCAGAACTACATCATGTGGGTTGCAACTCCCCAGAGATTGCTCTCCACTCCATTAACTTCATTAAGAATAAACTAGCTGCGTGGGATAATTCTATTTATTCTTTCCAACTTGCTACTCCATCAGGCTAAATTAAATGGACACTGATAGGATAAACTCTGATCACAAATGAGAAAGAGATGAAACGCTGGCTTCCTGAAGAGCAGAGAATGGTGGATCAGGCAGATAATATAACCATCAATCAGAAAAAGGTGGGGTGACAAAGGAAAATAATTAGGCAGTAGCTTCAACTGTGCATTCCTGTACAAGGTGCCCTGACTCACCGCAGCAATAGCAGTTGACTTCACTGGTCTTGCTGCAGTTGACAGCTACATGGGCAGTTTCACCACACCTATAGCATTTCAGTTTGGTGCAGTCTTTTTGAATGTGTCCAAACTCTCCACAAGAATAGCACTTCTGCTCGTCTGCATGGTCACAGTCATGAGCCTGTCACAGTTCATTCTAAACTTCCCATTCTCGCTTGCTTTACTGCCCTACACACTCTGCATCTGGATCCCTAAGCAAACCAAAATGGTAACTGTTCAAAGCTTGGGCTCTCTGCTGCACACCACCGAGCTAAAGAACTGGGTATAGAAGTAACTATTGCTTCTACAGGAAGCCAGCTTTGGCTGGGATGCGCAGGGATGTCTCTGTTATAAAGCTTTTTTTCCTGCCAATTTGCATTTCAGCCACACATCCATTTGCAAAAACTGAAAATGAAATTTGACCAATTTAATTGTTCTCCAATTACATCTTGTTCTGACTGCTGAGATTTTCACATATTTAGGGTGGAAGCCAGGTCCTTCAATACATAATGACACAAATTGCATAATTTTGCTGAGAGCCTGAGGGCCCTTTGTGATGGGCTGTGATGTTGCATTCAGTACATTCTTCATCCAATGCCACTTGCTCTGCTGTCATCAAGTTGTATTTTATGGCAACTGCATTTCCCAAATTAAATATTTGGAATATTTTTAATACAAAATATCAGGTGCACAGAGAAAGTCTGAACTATTTTAGATGAGAAAACAGAAAACATTAATTCTATACTTAGTAAACCAGCTTTTATACAAAAAACCCCAGATGCTACTGCAGCACAGCACTAATATCGCTCAAGTGAAGAAACTACATGGTCTTTGTATTAACTCAGTATCTTCAAGAGGGGAAGTGCTGCTCCTCTCAGCTGGTCCTTCTTGCTCAGCTGACTTCCATTTCAGTATTTTCTCTGGCCAAAGGAGGACTTTTTTCAGTCCCTTCAGAAAAAGCACTTTTGCTTGCTACTGCTGGTATCATGCTACAGCCGCCACAAGGACCATTCAGCCTAATTAAAGAAGCACTATTACAGAAGTTTGGCAAAGAGAAAAAGGGAATCAACAGGCAGATGACACTTTATGAAGAAGCTTCCCAAATGCCTATTGCCTTTTTGCCAACACAAGTAGTGTTGGTTTGTTAGATTAAGCAGGTCAGTTTGTATAACTTTCAAGCTTTTATGGAATAAAGTGTAATTTAAGGGGATATTTGCATGAAAGCAAGGTTGCAAACAGAGACAGGCAATAGGGAGAGAACTCTCCAGCAACATGTTACTGCACAGGACATCATCATGGCGAGAAGAGATGGGCAGTGGTTTGTTATCCAAACTAATGGGATCTCATCTGGAAGGCTGCAATGCTCAAGAACATGAACTACCAGACATGTTTCTTTCTCTAGAAAATTAAAAACTGCTTCCAATGAGAACTCTAACAACATCAGCACATTCAAAGGGGAATATCACATCAATTCCTTAAGCTCCAACTCAAAACATTAAGTTACAAACACAAAAGTTAGCCCATATGATGAAAAAGGCAGCCCCTATGCACCCACCAACTTCAGTGCTGCAATGCATTTTAAAACCAACAATGGATATTTATTGAACATTGATGCCAAACCATGCCTGTATAGGCAAGGCTGAGTGTGATGCCCCTGGCCCATGACATTTCAACCTCAATAGCTGAGAGACTGGATGCAGCATTTCAGTGACAGATGAAGCTGTCACACGCCTTGAAAGTGGAATCATTTTGGTCTTGACTCTTACTTCAGCTCTGCCTTTCCCTGTTCTTATTGACTT